GGAATTGCACAAGTATTCTTCAGGAGGGTTAATTCATTATGATAATAATTTTGTCTGTCATTCTTATATTTTCTTTAAGCTATTTCCATTAACAATTCTCTAATACTATTTTTATAATAAATTTGATATTGTTGTTATTGCCTATATCCAACTGAATCGCCTTGGATGAGCTGGTATATGTTCTTCATGACTGACAGGTAATGAAGGCAAACTATTTGAGGGAATTTTTTGTTCACTTGTTTGTTTTTCTGTTTCCATTTCCTTTCCCTCGTCAACTTTCAACTCAGTTCTCAAATTGACCATCTTAGCTCTGAGACTAATAAACAAACTCACCAAGTCTCTATCAGGCATCTCAATGCGGTTAAGTTCCTCAAGGACTATCTTCAGCACTTTGCTCATCTCTTCCAGGCGTTCTTTCTTACTTTTCGTTTTCCCTGCCTCTTGGATCTTTTCCATCAGCATTTTGGCGTATTCAAGCGCTCCATGAGTGCTGTACCCAGAAATTTTTTCACTATTTACTTGTTGGACTGGTCTAACAACGGCTACTGAATGTCTACGAGTTGTAGCTTCGATTGGATTTACCATACACCTCTGCTGACTAATTAACCTTTTGTCACGGCTTCCAGCAGTCTGCTCCATTTCCTTCTCTGACAATTTATCATCACAAGTACTAGTATTCCTCTCACTTAAGCTCTCCAAACTAGTAGGTACCATTTTGAGAGAATATCGTCTCTCTTCGTTTCTTCGCCGTCTTCTCATTGTAGTAGGTTGAACAGAGTTGTTGTTCTCTTTATCAAGAGGTTTAACTTCGTAAATTTTCCTTTCTTTCCCGCCGAGGTTATCAGCACCTCTTTCAAGATCCCCTGTTGATTTTGTCGCTTTCTGTGACACTTGTACATTGTTGCTGTCAGTTAATCGAGAGCAAATGATTTCCGGTCTTTTTGGTGATGATAACTGCAGGGTTTTCGCTCTAGCCACGAGTCTTTGCCACTGTAGTTCTGTATCACTATCAAAATGATACTGCCGCAAATAATCCTCCGTTGGTAGTGAATTTCTCTGCTCTTTCCCATTATTCGTTGTGTCATTTCCAAAGCTTGGTACAGTAGGTTGACTTCGCCTTCTAGGAAGACTATAATACGARTTTGCGGGTCGATCTAGTGCTGTCGTCGCTACCGAGTTCATGATGTTGAATGACGCTAAGGATATGTTATGCGATATTTTATGACTACCTGAGTCCCTTTCTCGCTTGACTACTTTYGTATTGGGGTCGTGGTTTTCGCTTCGCTGCCCATCTGACTCATTCCTATAACCAACTAAGCCAAAAACTTTGTTCTGGGAGAGAATGAACCCTTCAGACTGCCTTCTTCGATTAGCTCTGTGCGCAGACAACTCCCGAGATCGATAATATTCTCTCATAAAGGTCTCACTTGGCCACGACGATGAACTGTATCGCCTGGGGGGTTCACAGTTTGGGATTCTAGACCGTGAGAACGAAATGTTTGTTTCTCCCACATGACCACTCGATGCCTGCTCGCATTCTTCAATATCAGCTCCAGAGTGTCCTATCGATGAAAAAGGTCTGGATGAAATTCTGTGGTTAATGTCATGAAATGTAATATTATTCTCGAGCATATCTGTATGGCCTTCTGGAGCTTGCGCTCTTCCGTAACTTGAGCCATCGTTGTCTATTGACAGTCTCCCTCGGAGGTCTTCTTGTGTCCAAACCATGTTGTTTTGCGGTCCAACCTTTGCTTTAGTCTCGTGCATGGCACTACTATTCCCAAGCTTGCTACCTCTAGGTTCCACAAATATGCATGTATTATTTACAATGCAAGGAATGACTTCACAAGGCATCTTCAGTCCCCGTCTCTTTGTTTTCTTGCTCACGTTCTAGTGCTAATGCAAATAGCGTAGGCTTATCAAATGAAATTAAAATTGAAATTAAAAAGTCAACAGACCAACTTGAACCACTGATTCCTAATACCGAGAGCCAGAGCTTAAAGAGATGAGTTCTTCGACCAGTACTGTTCCTCGATTTAGGTTTGATGCGACCTAATTAAGAGTCACTGTCAAAAGGTCTTGCTTGAAATGCATGTTTCAGCGTTTGTTTTGGGCTTTGTGAATTTATCAAAAGATTACAAAACCTAATATAATCGACGATCCTGGCTATGGGCACTTCAGCGTCAATCCTCGGGACTTGTTAATTAAGACACTAGATTTTAAGATAGCTCCAAATTGATTGGAATGAGACCGTCCTTCCCACAAGTGACTACCGTCAAATTACACCCTGTGAAAATATGTGCCAAGGTAAACACATTCCATTTAAAAAAACATTTTCAGATCTGCCGTATCCTATTGTGTATAGATTGCTGTTTACAAAGGTTACCGACTATCTTTGATCTGTCAATATCCTTAATCTTACAAGCGCAGACTTGAAATTCTCAAAAAAGCTTTTCTTGGTTGAAGTGGTCTTCCAATTTTCCCCTAGCCTCTTCACGCAGTAACTTGTTACTTTAAATATTGAAGCTGAAAATATACTCCTTGTAAAATATACATGCTTGGACAAGCCTGTACGTCGCTTGGTCTCGAAAGAGGTCATTCACTTGCAAGGGGATGTTTGCGAAAGTATGTAAATCCACTTCAAGTACCATAAGATGTAAAATTCCGGTCTGAACGACTTCGAAGCCGGCTAAGATTTAGTTTTTTTTTAGTTTTCCGGTATAAATTCTTTCAGCGCTTGTTTTGTTAGTGATAATCTGTAAGTTTAAGATAATCTAGTAGAAAAGAATTCGAAGAATACAAATAAAATCTAAAGGTACTTGAAACTGACTGAAAATGGACGTTGAAGTGCGCAGACGCATGCAGACATGGTGATACAACGCGCCTGGTCAGATACCATTCAAGGTTTTTACCTGGAATAAATTGAACATTTTTGAACAAAATTTGAAAGAATAAGTTGTGCAAAATATCTGTACGGAACGTTCTCGCTCTACAATTCTTCATATATTTCTGAATAGTTGTCGCAACCCCTTGGATCCAAATATAGCTTATCGCACTACGAATCCGTAGCCTCCACCGACGGAAAACCTATAACCGCATATTTTCACCGCTGTTCATCAATTGTCGTCTTAATTAACGAAACGACACTTATATATAAACGTTATCTTCTTCAACGTTAAGAATTTGTTGTAACTTAAAGCGATAATTGTACCCTTCAATCAATACGCTACGAAACAATTCGCATTACTGGGGCAGTAAAAGTTATGCGTGCAACAAGACGTTCTTTACATTTTTGTTCCTTCTGTGCTAATCCCCTCTTTTAGCCGAATTAATTTACAGTTTATTCACAGCTGAACAAAAACATTTTCTGTCAGTTTTACAGATAACATTCCCAAAATACTATTGCATAAATAGATCATTTCCTTGTTTGTATTACAATATACGGATCAGAAAAGAAGTTCAAAGCTAAATTGCCAAATATGATTGAAAGGGATTGTTCCAAAGAAATAGAAAATCATTTTCTATTTTCTTGCGGCAAGAAAGAGKAGGAAGGCTTATAGTGTTTTTGGAGTTAAAAGSAACSAGTTTCTCATTATGAATCAACAAAYAGAGAGTATTTCAGATAACTTACTGGAACCACAAAAGTGTGCGTCATAAAGTACACAAGTTATGTTCTAAATGGGTATTTTGTGAATAACTAAGGACCACAGTGCTATCATATCATTGCGTTTTAGATCATATCACGGCAACTATCAACAAAGCAGATTGGCTGCGACCAACGCGAGGGCATGTGACGCTTACGTAGCCGTACCCACGCAAATGTACCGTTTTTAATTATCCATCATGACAAATACAATAACAAGTGGCTGATATTGATTCCTCTTCCATGGTTATGTGCTGACATTGTTTATTTTGAGATGACGTCACCGTGTGATGCAATGACGTCATAGGGATTGACAGGAAGGCAGAAGACGGATAAGAATAATTGATAGKGATTTATTTTTTGATACAAAGTACATTTTTATAGATGTTTGGACTATTTTTGCACGCAAGATAAAATGAGGTATGCAGATCTGTCATCAGTGTGTGATAGTCGGTTTCTATGAAGTGTGAGTATGTAATAAAGATTATAGATTGCTATAATAGATTGTTATTGAACTATATAAAATATTTACTTTGGTTGCACCAAACGACCTTCTTTGAATTTATGAATCAGACCTTTARGTTATGTTAGAGCACTGTATGTACCAAGAAAACTTGGAATATTGTTCTGAAAGAGTATAAAAAGCCATTGCAGTAACTTATTTTCGATATTTGGCATCATACCATCCGCTGCGCACATTTACATAAGAAATAAGACTTAATACAACTTAATCACGCGATGTAACYYAAGTATTTCTTTTCAATACGTTTGTTTTAATAGGTTTGGTTAAAGTCACGAAAGCTTAGAGCATTAGAAAAACCAGCATGAACACTTACAAATTATCCAGTTTTCGTATCAACGGATAAAATTGTCTGTCAATATATCAGAGAAATCTTCATTTTCATTTCTAACAAACGGCCTTTTAAAGAGTTCTAACTCCTTGTTTTTCATATTGAAGACACTGACTGAGCATGTCACTTGTCAGTCATGACGATTTCAATGGGAAAATGTCAATCAACGCAAGGGTGTATTGTGGAATGGATGGGAAGCCACAAGTAACTATTTGTTAATGTATTTATTGCTTGTAACTTCAATTTATGRAGCTCTCAGACACTAGGGAGGCTTYAGATTGATTTTTTACTACCAACAATTAAAAATGGCATCTTTGGTTTGTCTAGTTTGAGTGMTTTAGGCAATGCACGGAACGAACAAACGGAAATGCTGTAAGTCCTGTAATATTAAATATTTTGTGTGTGTTATTAAAGTACTCTTGATTGCAAAAGAAAGTCCCTTGGGGTCTTTTCATAAGATGAGTCAGCTTTGTTTTTTTTTTTTTGCGCTTGAAAACCAGCCTGCCTTTCGCCCTATTTCAACATACATAGGAAATGCAGGATGCCTTCAGATTGGAAAAGTTCAAGTCTTTCAACCTCTTAATTTGTTTTATTTAGTTAAATTAAAACTGTTGTTAATTATTAAGCTATAGTAGCTAGTTTATATATCAATATTTCGCCATACTTCATACCGCTATATATATCATATTCGCACGAATGACGCAGGAGCCAGTCATGTTATACTAACATCAAGAGAGAAGTGAAGTAGTCCGAGCATCAGTCGTTCAGTCTCGCACAGTCTAACACTGAAGTGACTGCATGTCAAGAACTCAAGAGTTTGAGAGTTTTACGAATGGACTTTTGATTCTTTTCTTGTTGATAACCGTGGGAATAGCACAACTCCTAACAGAACTAATTTCGAAATACTTGCACTTAGAAATATTTGATGTGTCATATAAAAAAGGTATTTCAGACAAATCAGATGACATTCTCAATGATTTGATGATAATGATTGTAATGATTTTGATAAAATTTACCTACTTATGTAAAAAAAATCTAATCCCTCTCAGAAAAGGGATATCAGAAAACATAGGACACGCCCAGGACACTCCGTTTGTCGCTGAAAATTTGACCGGTCTTCCTGTGGCTCAACCGAGCGTGCATGACAGTGTAAACACAAATTTACCTGACCTCAGGTCGTGGTTGACAGACGACATGGGCTTGAAAGCTGTTTGTTGTGACTTCTCCTGGCAGTTCACTGATCAACAAACAGAAACTCACAATTCAGAAAAAAAAACACAAAGATATGGGAGAAACACATGGCCTTGAGTTTGATCATCGGTTTCTCATGACTCGTCAGGAGTTGAAAGGATTTGTTTGCAAAGGCAAAAGCCCGCCATTTCTCCGTAAGTCTAATCAACAAGACCTGAATGCTCGATATTTGGAAGAAATGTTCTTAATACATACCCAAGATAATTGAAAGCATGGATTTAGTTGTTCTGCCTTCAGAAATCGAAAGATTTTTGCCACTAAACCAAGGTAAGTTTGTAAATTTCACTTGAGTCATTTGCTCATGAATGATCTAGCCTGCGTTTCCGGTGGTCTGCGGTTTCATTGATCAGAGAAAGAAAGCCCGCCAAAATATTTCCGGGCAGGCTACCACACTTCCAAGAAATATATTGTGTTTTTTTTTTTCTATCCTCGGAATTTTAATGGATAGTCGAAATATTTAACTCTTTTGAACTTGAAATTTTAATTTGTGCATTAGAAAATGCTATATTTTTGGCTCATTATAATGAATTGATTTGTCTATATCAATTAATTATTACTCATTAACTATTTCTGTTTTTGTTATTATTTATTTGTATTACAGAAGATGCACTTAATCCTTGTGAGCTGAAATAGAAAATAGTACTAAATTATACTACAATTTTTTTGTTTCCTATTGTTTATCAACACCATTTAGTAGCAATTAGTGCTGTCTGTGTCAAGAATTAAGTGCATCCACTCCAACGTCATTTATCTATTTATTAAAGTGATCGCACTTAAACTGTGCAACTGTACAAAATTTAAGTAGTACTAATTTGTACTAAAAGTGGACCTGAAGCAAGACGACATGGAATGCTTCATTTGTATCAATTCAATTTAATTTGCATACTGCATGCACGATTGACTAAATGCAAATAAATAGTAAATAGCAGTATTTAGTTTGTACAGTTGCATGATTTAAGTGCGATCACTCTTGTACTGTTATTGTTAGTTTTATCATTATCATTTCTTCCTGTGTTTTCTTCTGCAACCTGCCCATCCTCGCTCTATCTGTTTTGTTTATTTGTCTTGTTTTTTGTTGTTGTTGTTTTTTTTTGTTTTGTTTTCAAGCTCTACGCTATCTTGGATTGAGTTCGCTGTAGTGGACAATACTTAGCTATTATATTGTTTGAGTTTTGCAGTATTTTCCTTGTTTTAATTCTATTTTTTCCGAAATAATTTAGCAATACTTAATATTCATACCATACCATCAGAATTATTTTCAAAACTGACTCGGGAAATTGAACGTTAGACAACGAAAAGACAAAGTAAAATGTGCAAAATTAGAAAAGGAATGAAGTGTAKTACTGTTAAGTGTGTTTTTATTGCGTTAGRTGCTTATGACGAAAGCAGGAAGTGGATTAAAAACAATAGAAAACAAGGGAATAGAAACGAGGCCTGTAGGCCCTGSAGGAGCCAAGATAGCAAATATCTAAGGATTAAATTCATCGGATTTCAAGAAAAATTTCTTGTGTGCAGCAAAAGGATATTTTCTCGCGTCTTGTGAAGTTCGCGAAGAATGAATTGTTTAATTCCCAAACTACTGCTGGTTTTTGTCGTAAGCGTGTTTCGGTTTGTGTTCACGCTCTGGAAGAACGCGGTTTACTCAATCAGTCTCCGTATAGTATGCAGACGCGGAATTTTGACAGAATGTTGCGTTCTTCATTATAAATCTTTTTGTGTTATGTGTCGTCAAATATCTGTCCGTGCAATATAACATTAGTGAACCCCATTTTGCAGAAAATGAAACTTTCCTTGAATATAGGTAACGTCAGTTCTTTGATTCATGAGGTTGCATATGAAATACTCCAAACCAAGGCCGTCGTTTATTTCTTAGAATGAGTACAAATTTTCAACTATCAAAGGACTTTTGAACAAGCACACGAATGCGCGGCATTTGTTGAACGAGAGAAGGACGAAGAGGACTGTGCAAATTGTGCTCAATAGCTTTCATGTTATTAAATATTCATAAGGATTGTCTCAAAATTATTAGCTGCAGTGCTTGACCCTCCTTTTTACAAGTGAATCAGCGTACAAAACTACCTTTTGGCCACAATTACCTCGAAAAGAAACCCGAATCACAATGTTCAAGAAATTCAAAAGATAACTGAGCTATTGAAAGGTGAGTGCCATCTTATTTGAACGCTGTTTTGAACAAATCAAGCTTGGAGCAGCTGTACTGTCCAAACTGGATGCTGCGTTCCTTGGTATTTTGATTGTATGCAGACAGATCATGATCTTCGATTCCATAGTCAACTGTATCTACATCTCATCGAGCATTTTTTTGATCTTACAATTAATCGAAGGTTGCTGATGTCGAGCGATGTCGATTTTGAACGCTTAGCAAAAACAATTTTTTCACTTTCCATTTCGATGCATATACTTCCCCTCTGAATAGCTGTATAGCGTGTTTTAATCACCTAAAAACGCATTTCTAAGTAATAAAAACAAAAGCTTACACGAAGGCCTTTATTTAATCCACAGCTTAAAAAAATATTTGAACCTGTAGATTAGTACCTTTAGCATGTTTTTATGTACGAAAAATGTTTGCCAATGAATGTATCTTTTTGGCAATCTGTACAAAGCATGTAGAATTTCTCTATCTCTATCTCTGGAGATGTTACCTGACAAATGCCGACATAGGTTCTATAATATTAGATTAAATTTGACAGTCCAACATGTCGGTCTGGTGAGTTCGTTTTCATAAGAATTAGACTTGAAGACAATTTTTCCTTKTGAATAATATGATTAGCACAATAAGATATCATTTTATCAGTGCGTAATACATAAATCAATTTTGAACTACTATCTCAACTTGTGACTCATGAAAAACAAAAGCAAATTAGATATCAAATTACAAGGCTTTTTTTTCTCGTCTTTTATGTTGATGAAATGATGAAAATTTAGCTCGCTTTGCTGATGGGTCAGACTTTGTTGTCCCTTATGGARTATAATTCGTTTATCGAGGCTATGAAAAACATCAATTCATTCGAAAAGTGCATGACTCAGGTTCGCACTCAGATATGAACAATGTTATGCTCATACTTCATTGGCACGACGAAGAAAATGCAATTCCCTAAAAGCATTGTACTTTGGATTTTAAGTGCTATTGAGGTGAATGTATGCGATTTCTCATTCTTCGTCTGAATGATGCATTTTTGTGTGGGTAATTATTAATTTGACAAAAGTTGAGGATAGAGATCTTTGCTTATTAGGTACATTGGCTTATAATGAAAATACTCGAATGTAAAAGGTGGAATGGAAGTTTTTTTTTGTAAACTCTACTGTGAGTGAGCATCCACATGCAAATATTGACATTTTTTCCCTCGAGAAATAATTTATAAGACAGGCGGGATATTCTAAATAGAATAAAATATAAATGATTGTTGAAGGTAGCAAAAACAAAAAAACATGAAATATAGAACCATACGAAACAACAATAGATGATAACAATAGGACGGTTACAAAAGCCCTGAGCGGAAAGTGAATAGAACTATTTAGAATGGGAAGTCTTTCGAAAAGCGTTATGTTTACTGCAGTATTTTATTATCTAGTCCAAATCTTGTGGAAACAAGAGATCAAACGGAATGGAAAGGAAAGCTTGGAAGGAGAAGAGAGAAACTAACGAGTAGTGCGAACGCTGGTTGAATAGAGGAGGGAAAAGATTGAAAAGATGGAAGGATGGAATTAGTAGGAAAGAAGAATGGACGGGAATAAAGCCATTGTAAGAAAGAAAGGAAGGACGGATGGAGGGAAGAAAGGACGGAAGAAGGAAGGAAGAAGGAATTAGGGAAAAGAGTGAGAAGGACCGGGAATGAAGCAGAAGAAAGTAAGGAGGGTAATTGGGAAAAGGACCGACAATGGCGCCGTATGAAGGAATGACATAAACATCACAGCAAAATGAAGAATAACATAACATCACTTAATTTCGACTAATTGAAAGAAATATGATGTTTAAAGTAGCGAATTACTAAAATTAGTGTAGGATGTTATGATGAAAGCTTAAGCAAGGCTAAAACCTGCAAGAAATCGTTATTAAATCAATCGTGCCCAATTCGATAAGTATTCTGGCTTTATTATGTCTATACCCGATGCATCTACTGAGTTCTTTATTAACTGAAGATCGATAAAACCTCGGTTCACATCAAACTGTGAGGAAACGATCTAAAAATACCCAATTTTCTATGTATTGGGGTTTTTAAATATAGTTTCAGTAGCAAATATTGAGTAGTACTGTAAATAGTTAATGAGAACTACATTTTTAGTTAACATCTGTTGTCATCGCTACGAGCAATAGGTAATTAATAGTGATCCTTGATGATGACGACTTAAACGTTGAAAGGTTATTATCATTCAGCGAGGAAAACCTAGTTAGTTAACTATTGGAAAAGAGAATCATTCAAATTGCAAGTTCATTATTGGAGATGGCTCTCACAGTGCTAAACTTTCAGTTTCTGATTTATCGTCATTTTTACGGCATGCAGGGGGGATGATTTTGGTTTCTCTAGTAAAGGTTGCCGAGCATTTGTAGATGCAGGAAGAAAAGGAGGAGTTCAGCTGAAACTGCAAAAATTGACGTACGAAGAGACATTACGATCGAAGGGAAGAAAGAAGAATGCAAACTCTGATTTGTTCCTATGATCTACCTAGTTAAACTACATAGCTACAAACATTCTATCAACTTTTGCAGTGATTTGGTTCGCATTGGAAGTACCCTTTTGTGTGATTTCCAATGTGCGACGTGTGATCTATGCGTTTAAAGTCAAGAGCTTTGCAAGGGAATTCATGTCATTTCCTTCCATTAATTGGCGCAGGCAAAACTCGTTAATTTTAGTTACAACGAACATTGTTCTACTAAAGTAGGAGTATTTGCTTATTTCACACATTAAAAAGCTGAAGGATTAGTTAACCATATATATGCTTAGAGGAGGGAGACTGCACTCTTCAAGTGGTCCGCCATTTTTCGGTATATGATGCGCCATATTGTTTGAGCAGAGAAGGCCTGGAACTGAAGGCAGGCGACATCTAGGAAGCGACAAAGCTGAATATTTCAGCCCAAACAGCAGTATTTTGATCCGTTGGCCAGTGTTATTCTTTGAAGGGGTTAAAAATCGCCTTAATTCATGCCCCCTTTGAAGTACGATCCAACCGCGAACGTTGACACACAATTATTCCCATAACATGGTCTGTCATATCTATATCATTACATAGAGTTATATCATTGCCATGGAAACCGTATATATTAACCAACAAGACGATTACATTAGAACTATACGTCGAAAAAAATATGATATTACCTTGTCATACTTTATCTATCTTATTCTAAAGCTCCAGTCCTTTGAACAGTCTATCGGTAACGAGAGAAACCTAACCATTATAATTCACGAAATTAATTATTCATTAATTACGCGATACTTTAACATTTTGAATATGAAATGATGGACTGTGTGGTAATTCCTCTTTTTTTTAGGAGTGTAAAATATAGAGGCATGTAAAATATAGAGGCATGGACTTAACGGGGTTCAGTGTTCATGATAAAAGTCGAGATGTTTGAATTAAAAACCCACTGTTAGATACTAATTATTGTGAGGCGCTTTAAGGGGAAGAGAATGATTTGTAAAATTCTGCTCAGCAGTAGTCTGAAGTACTCGCTTTAATTGAGCTTTGCCGTGCACGTTTTCCGTTTCAATTTTTCGGCTTTGTTTCGAATTTAAGTGTGCATTCTGTTTCGAAGATGCGACAATATGTGTTTTAGCTTACTACAAAGAAAGTCTTCTTTGAAATTTTGAATCACAAAAGCCGTTGATTGAAGCAAATGCGATGCTTGTACATAAAAAAACTGCACTTGACCACATATCAAATTCGGTTTAATTTACAACACAATCCTTGTATTACAATCTTTTAACCAAAAAACTACAACATAAACCACTAGTTTGAAACGTTCAATTACAAATAATTTATTCGATAAGACCAGAATTGTTTTCAAATAAATTGCTTTTATTCTTTTAAGACTTCAAGCTGGATTTTAAAGATTAAATTTATGCAGGTTTTTAAATGAGTCGCCTGAGGTATATTTGCATATCGAAGACACCACCTGTCATACTTCGAGGATCTTCAGTGCACAACGTAAATTCAAAGATCAGCCATTTTTAAATCAGAAATAGCATGTTAAAGGTGTAGGGGTTAAGCATATGTCGACGTCACTCCGACAAGAATCCAAGGTATACAAGAAAACGATTGTTACACTGTTAGGGGGCTGTCAGATTCGCAGCTTTAAACGCTAGCCATACGTTTGACAGGACACTGGAAAGCCGGTTAGCTACTATCACGAATTTCTTGCCTTCTTCTACTTGCGAACGATTTTTCTCACTCAAGACGGATTTCTTGCCTTCGTAACGTAATGTTATCGTAAGCTCTTTCTCTTAAGTGCCGAGGCAACAATCTGTTCCGTGAATTTAACTACATTTTGGATCAACGCGTTGTGAGTCGACAACTGACCAAATATCTCCCTCAAACTAAACAATATGTCAAAACTGAGTCCATTTTACAATTGAAAGATAACATTATAATAGATTATTTTGCTTTATTGCTCAGAAACCCGTTTTCTTCTCAATCATTACACATTGTATGAAAGTGTTTTTTAGTTCATAATGTTGCATTGTTCTCTTGTAGATCGCTGTTGTTTTCATCTTTGAGATGTGATCTCGACGACATAGCGCGCGATCTGAGGAGACGTTGAATGCTGTGAAATTGAACTAAAATGAGCAGAAAAGAAAAACTGTTGAAATCTTGAACTCAAGACGAATCAGAGGTCGAACTGATGAACGCTAGCACACCAACACAGGTAAGCTGAAGAGAGAAAACATTGTTTATTTACGTGCTTTTCAATGGCAGGTGAATTCCTGTGTACGTTCAACGCTTGATCAATTTTTCGTCTAAAAACAAAAAAATTTCCTCGACACTCGCTTGTTATGATGTAATATAGACTTCATTGGTAAGAATATTAATACTTTTGAGTTCGAAAATTATAGTATACCTCAATTAATTGAGATAAAAACAGTATTTTACAGTTTAGTGAAATTCTGTAAATGTCAGTTAGCGATAAGCATTTGACAAAATATTGACCGTGAAGCGTTTGTGGCAATAACTTCAGAAATATTAAAATTGGAACTATATATTTTAAAATTGGAGTGCTTTAAAAACATTCTTTAATAGCAGTATTATAGAATGGTCAAATAGATACGGTTTTTGAGTAATTGTTTTACATTCATTACCATTGATACCAATAAATCAAGGTAGATGGCGGTTTTCGATTGGAAACGCTCAAAAAAATAACGAAATCTATAAGAATATATTCAGACATATACATATACAGAAGTTCATTAAATTCAACGAAGCACATATATTCTTACTGGAAAAACATCAAATTAAATTAATCAGCTCTTTTTGTTTTCGCTACTAATTTAAAGGCAAATGCTACTGTGGATTGAACGTTAATATGCGATTTTAATTGCAGTACTAGTTAATTTTAAAACAGATGTGTTATAAATACAGAATATACTTGAGATTGAGAATATAAGCAGGTTTTTAGTTAATTTTAATTTAAAGTTTTTTTTTTTGTAGTTACTGGTCTGAACCCCGTAACATAAACATAGGGTACTTATAAGCCCCCCGGGGCTCAAAGAAATTATTTTTATCTCGCATTTCTACTATAATACTGTTCGCCCTTGAGGCTTACTCATACTTTCATTTTTCTCTCGCTTATACTTTGCGGATGATTGGGTATTTTTGTTTCTAAAGCATCAAGTATGTTTAGATCTCAGAAAAGATCAAAAATAAATGATAAGAAAATTAAGAGGGATTTGGGGTGAGGGAGAGGGAGGGGAGGGGAGGGGAGGGGGGAGGAGAGATAGAGGTGACGGAAAATCCTGGGCTTATAAAACTCATAAATAATTATGATGATTCTGGACTATAAGTCAGAAGCGTTATATAATGACAATTCCAAACTAAGTTGCTTCCCTGGTCATCGAGTGTCACTCCAAAACAGTGAAAAACGTCGGAATACGTTACGTAATATTCGAAGTAGCTGTGTAGTGAAAAATACTTGTCTCAATTCTCATTGGTTTATCCCGTTTCTGCACTTCATTGGTACTGAAAATTGTAGTAAACAGCGCTGTTAAAAACTTAGGTAATTGAAAAGTTGTTTTGTCTGCAATCATGTTGCTGTAGTCAGTTTCATCACACCTTTTCCCCCGTTCTATTCGGAAGAAAGCCAACTCTATTACAGAACGTGTAGAATGGTTTTTTGAATGGTTTTTCATTAATCCGTGAAACAAAGTGTAATAGTCAAAGCCGTGAAATAATATGTGATACACCGAAAATACAAGGAAAACGTGCAAAATTAGAAGTAATTGAACGCTTAATTGTATTTCACGGGGGCAAATAAAAATCACTCCATAAACTCTATTTTATAAATCCTATTCTCCTTGATTGTTTTGGATTGTAGACGTCATTTTCTTTGTTTTTCTATGCGTTACACTTTTGTTAAGTAGACACTTAGTTTGGTGGGTTTTTAAAAATCACTTAATATGTGCACAAGTAGACTCGAAAACACGACCACACTCGATTTATTTCTTCTTTTTCATTAACAATAATATTATGTCTACGTAATAGCGACACATCTTGACCGGTTTTGAATACTTTTGGACTTTCCGATTCTTTGCAGTCGAGCGCTTTGATTAACGGAAATCCATCTCCATGGCCTACTCGATGGTGTTTTAAGTCCAGACAAAAAGCACGGAATATTTGATATTTCAGTCCTGCGGATGTCACTGAATATTGAGTCACACCAGCCTTCGCGACATGTGCCTAAACTATCAACCGCTAATTATCCAATCTTGTTTCCGATCACAATCGACCGGAAACACACCACGGGTAGCCAATCACAGACGAGTGTTTCGTGACGTATTCACGCCAGATTTCATACACTGTCCTTTTTTCGTTAAAATTGCTCGTGTTTGCTTGGAATGAAAATGGCGGGCGTATTTGCTAAAGAGAGGTCTTTTCAACAAGCGAGAGAATTATCTAGAAGGCGCTCACAAAGAAAATGTTACGAGTATGTCTTTGGGAAAACAGCTCCGACATTATCGCGACACGGTGTAAGTATTAAGCTCTTCTTTGATTGCTTTGAAGTTTGAATAAGCGATTATAAAGTGGAGTCGTGTAAATAAAGCGAAAAGACATAACGCACTCAGAACATAACTAAAAGATTTTGGACCGACATTATAGTGTTTGATTAGAATTTAGTCTTTAACGCCAAAGCTGATGTAACAAAAAAATTGTCTTTAAACGAAAAAGATATCATTCTTACTTTTTGACGAAATATTTGTCAAAAGGAGATATTTTTGTTATTCTTTAGAATATATTACACATTACGTGTATGAGTAAGCTTTGACAGAAAAATCGTGGGGTAATTCCATTGAGATCGTATGATTTTTATTGGTTAGGCAGTGTGCTTTTAGCTTTTTCGTAGTTCATTATCCCCAGTCGTATACATTAAAACTAGCAGTGCGCCGATTAAATTATCAGTGTCCAGACAACCAATTTTCACGATATAGCATTTATCACGTGATTTAATGGCTATTTACATGGAAGTCAGTTCCTAAACTCCTTGTGCTCATAAACGTTTCTAGTATTGCAAAGCAGCTTGGGTATTGTCACATTGTTCAAACATAACGATTAACTTCAATAATTTAACTATGATAACATCTAATGGCCATTTAATTTAGCTGAAGTCTAATTTATCATGATAATAGTAAAGAATTAATTTATCAATGATGGTATTTCCACCTCTTTCCACACATTCCACTTACCTTGTTTAATCTAGCAGCGTAGCGAGCATTTTAACCTACTGCAAAACTACAATAACAAACAAACAAAAATACCAATAATTGATTGTTCTATTATGAGTTGTGCCATTTTTTCATCCAGTACTTTGCATTCACCTTTTTTTTATTTCTGTACTAATATTTGATTCATCCACGCGCGTGTCTCATCCCTTTCCCGTCATCACGTGGTTCTCACGTGGTACTCACGTGTTTTTCACGTGTTATTCACGTGTTCCTATTGACTCAGGGTAGTCGTCGACCAATGGACAGGAACGAGGATACAGCTGCTGTGGTATTCTTTTCTTTCTCTCTTTCATTTTTAACTGATATATTCGTTTAATTTCACTTATTACTAATAACTAATGACTCACTCATATCACAACATTCATGTAATTATCACTAACCCAACTAACCACTGATAAGTTTCCAGGACTTAGCAACGTTGTTAAAAGTTTGCTGAACTAAATCAAAATTATTGTAAATCGTGAATTAATTGTTTAGTTGATTCTAATGTGTGTTCTTATTTGTGTTTATTCGTTATTGTCTGTTATTTAATT